TAAACCAGTATGGGTTATACAATCCTTGGAAATTGCATTTTTAATCCAAGGAAGGAGAGGGTCGCTTTAAGTATACTTCAAAAATCCTATTAATGACAGCGTTCTTCAATTCAATTCAAAGTTTATTCTCTATAAGGATTACAATGCTGAGTTTACAGAATTTGGTTATTGTGTGGTTTACATGTAGTAAAATAATAATTACAGAGTGTACCACTAGACCACCTAGCATGGCTAGGCATTTCGGGCAGACTTAGTTTAATTCTTAATTTTAAAATATTACAAATTATGAGGTAAGTTGGTATTATGGCTGAGTGACTAAATACTAGTTTGTGAGTTTAGCAATGTGAATGTTTTTGTTTTGGCACAGTACATAGTTTCAGTATTGGAGTATCACAGGATTCATTATTTTAAGACTGAGATTAATATTTCTGTTTATGGTCAAATGGGTGAGTGAGTGTAAGTGTGAACCACCAGGTGGTATTCGTGTAGTTAGTTGACGGGTGCGTGTGAAGTATGACCGCTGTTTCAAGTTGCCCCTTTTTAAACAGTACCTCTGTATGGTATATCTGTATGGTATATCTATATGGTATAGCTGTATGTTATATCTGTATAGTATATCTGTATGGTATACCTATATGGTATATCTGTATGGTATATCTGTATGGAATATCTGTATGGTATATCTGTATGGTATATCTGTATGGTATATCTGTATGGTATATCTATATGGCATATCTATATCGTATATCTGTATGGTATATCTGTATGGTATATCTATATGGTATATCTATATGGTGTATCTGTATGGTATATCTGTATGGTATACCTATATGGTATATCTATATGGTATATCTATATGGTATATCTGTATGGTATATCTGTATGGTATAGCTGCATGATATATCTATATGGCATAGCTGTATGGTATATCTGTATGGTATATCTGTATGGTATATCTATATGGTATATCTATATGGTATATCTGTATGGTATATCTTGTATACCTATATGGTATATCTGTATGGTATTTCTGTATGGTATATCTGTCTGGTATATCTATATGGTATATCTGTATGTTATATCTGTATGGTATAGCTGTATGGTATATCTATATGGTATATCTGTATGTTATATCTGTATGGTATAGCTGTATGGTATATCTATATGGTATATCTCTATGGTATATCTATATGGTATATCTATATGGTATATCTGTATGGTATATCTGTATGGTACACCTATATGGTATATCTGTAGGGTATATGTGTATGGTATATCTGTATGCTTGTATATTGCTCAAGGTACCACATTACTGCACTCTGCGTAACTTTGTAAAGAACATAATTATTGCACGATATTCGATTAATCTTTTAAAAGTGCTGAACGGGGCCTAGAAGCTTGCAGCGCTACACTGCTAGACGTAATGAGTCAGAGAGGCAGGGTTGGTTGTTCTAGGTGGGTTGTCTAGGGTTGGTTGTTCTAGGTGGGTTGTCTTGGGTTGGTTGTTCTAGGTGGGTTGTCTTGGGTTGGTTGTTCTAGGTGGGTTGTCTTGGGTTGGTTGTTCTAGGTGGGTTGTCTAGGGTTGGTTGTTCTAGGTGGGTTGTCTAGGGTTGGTTGTTCTAGGTGGGTTGTCTTGGGTTGGTTGTTCTAGGTGGGTTGTCTTGGGTTGGTTGTTCTAGGTGGGTTGTCTTGGGTTGGTTGTTCTAGGTGGGTTGTCTAGGGTTGGTTGTCCTAGGTGGGTTGTCTAGGGTTGGTTGTTCTAGGTGGGTTGTCTTGGGTTGGTTGTTCTAGGTGGGTTGTCTTGGGTTGGTTGTTCTAGGTGGGTTGTCTAGGGTTGGTTGTCCTAGGTGGGTTGTCTAGGGTTGGTTGTCCTAGGTGGGATGTCTAGGGTTGGTTGTTCTAGGTGGGTTGTCTAGGGTTGGTTGTTCTAGGTGGGTTGTCTAGGGTTGGTTGTCCTAGGCGGGTTGTCTAGGGTTGGTTGTCCTAGGTGGGTTGTCTAGGGTTGGTTGTCCTAGGTAGGTTTTCTAGGGTTGGTTGTCCTAGGTGGGTTGTCTTGGGTGAGTTGCCCTAGGTGGTGTTTCTAGGGTTGGTTGTACTAGGTGGGTTGTCTTGGGTGGGTTGTCCTAGGTGGGTTGTCTTGGGTGGGTTGTCCTAGGTGGGTTGTCTTGGGTGGGTTGTCCTAGGTGGGTTGTCTTGGGTGGGTCGCCCTAGGTAGGCTGTCTAGGGTTTGTTGCCCTAGGTAAGCTGTCTTGGGTTGGTTGTCCTATGTGGGTTGTCTCAGGTGGGTTGTGTCCTAGGCAGGAGGGGAGAGTGGTAGAGCCTCACTGGAACACTCAGCTGTAATAACAGACATGAGGCTCCAAAACGTTTACTTCCTCTTTCTGGGAATCCCTTCGAGGGAGGAACTTGGACGCTGATGTGGTCATTTTCCAAGAAGTGGACATATCCTTCCCTTCCTTGAACTGAACCTGATTGCTCCTATTCCTTATGAACCACATGTATGACCCCTTTGACCTCAGCGTTTCTTCCATAGTAATAATAAGAATTTCTCTACGAGGTGCTTCATCCTTATTGTTTCTTTGTTTTTGAGAAAACTTAAAAAACCCCAATTTTTAATATATATATTTTATATATAATATATATATAAATATTTTTAATATATATTTATAAATATATAAATTATATTTTTTTTTTTTTTTTTTTTTAAAACAAGTGGGGGCCGTTTTCCCCCGAGGAAAAGGGTTTGACCCAAAAAAAAAAAAAAACCCCAAAAAAAAAAAATCCCTTTACTTCATTCAACCCCATTTTCACCCACACCCCGAACATTACCCACTTTTTGCAGAGGTGCTCAAAAATACAACAGTCTAGAAGCAAACACATAAAAAGATACACAACAATCCCTCCAAACGCCCAAATTTTCCCAAAACCCTTTCCTTTAAAGTGCAGGCTTTGACTTTTTCCCATTTCCGGGAAACTAAAGTCGACTAAAGAAAAAAAACCGGGTTTTCCCTAACCCCCTTCACTAAATATTACCCTGCCAAACCCAACAGATCGTCAGGTCCCAATTACCTTTCGTCTCCTTTCCCACTCCTTCTAAAGGGCTCCCCGCTCCTTGCTGGAAGTTCAAGCCCCTTGCCCACAAAACCCCCCAAACCCTTTAAAACCCCCCTCTCCCCCCAACCCTTTCGAGGCAACCCCTACCCCCTTTCCCTTTCCCCCTAAAAGTTTTATATGCTTTCCATGTCTTTTAAAACTTTGATCCATTCTCTTTTAAAATGCCCAAAACCACCCCCCAAAAAACCCCTTTCTGCCCCTGACAAAACTTTTATTAATCCACACCTTCTAAAAATTTTCCACACTCCAAAAATTTTCTGCATGATTTTTTACCCCACACATTCCCCTTTTTAAAAAAAAGACACTCCCTGCCCCCAACCGTCCCCTTCGCTGCTGCTTTTTCCCCCCCAAGTTTAACACCCCCATAAAAGGGTGTTGGTACAAACTATACTTTCTTTACTTTCCCCCTTTTTTTCCTCCATAGTTTAAACTTTTTTTTTGACTCCACATATCCCTTTCAAGCACCATTTCACCTTTTTTTAAACCCCCCAATAAATTTCAAAGAAAAAAACCTCCCCCAAAAAAAACCCCAAACCCCGCAGAAAACTAACCCCCAAATTACCCCAAAAACATTACTTTTTCCATACCCCCCACCCCAATTTGTTTTTCCAAAATTTTCTTTTATCAAAAATTTTTTTTTAAACACCTCTCCCCTTAAACATAAAAAAAATATATATAAAAATTATTATATAAAAATTTTAAAAATATATTAAATAATAAAAAAAAATATATAAAAATTTTAATTAAATAAAAATATAAAAAAAATAAAAATTTTATATATATATATTATATTTTTATATTTATTTTGACCAGGAATGAGTGGTTTAAAGCCCCCGTTTCACACACGGGGGGCCCGGGGTTTCAAACCCCGGCGGGTAAAATATTTCGCCACGTTTCCTTACCCCTTTTTGCCCCTTTTTCCCTACCCCAGCAAATGGGTCCCCTAGGTGTTAGCCCGACTGGGGGTGGGTCGCACCCTGGGGAAAAATTTTGGGGGCCCCCCAAATTTGGAAAATTAAGTTAACAACCCTCGAGGGACGCACTGATTTTTTGGGGTTATCCTGGGGGCCCAAAAACCCCCCGGGGCTTTTAAAAATCCAAAACAAAAACTTATCTTTTTATCTTAACACTGCACTACCAAAAAACTTGAACCTTTTGCTTTTTTGGCCTCCCCTTTGGGGGGGCAAAAACACATGTCCTAATCCCTTTGGGCCATACAAACCCTTTAAAGTAGGCAACCCGCGGAAATGGAGTACGCGCTACCCAAGGACACACGATGGGGGATGACCTAGGCAAATTTCCCTTAAATCCCTGTTTTTTGGGGTACAGTTCATCGACCTGACTTACATTTATGTTAAAACGGTCATGAGTATGTATTTATGGGGAAAAAGATCAAGGGTGAGGAAGCAAAGTAGGTGCATAAACCCAAAAACTTTAGGGGGAAAATGTATTTATTGTATTTTTGGTTTCTCCTGGCTTTTGGGGAGAAGTTTTAAAAAAAAAGGTGGAACGGATTCACAATTTAGTGCAAGAATTTTTCTCACGCACAGAATTTTTAGGTAAAAACAAAAGGAAGCAGTTTTTTCCCCGTTTAATTTTTTTGATTTTTCTTCTTTTAAAAGCTGGATAATTGCTGAACTGTTTTTGGGGGAAACCCAAACAACCATTTGTGTTCTATTTATTTAGCAAATAATTTGCTGTCTGTCCTGTTTGTGAAACATCATGAAACATGGAAATATGATGTATGTTTGGAGAAGGAGGAGGAGGAGAAGGAAGAGGAAGAGGAGGAGAAAAAGAAGTCAGCTAACACCAGGGCATCTACTTGCATATATCTTAACTAAATACAAAAGTTAACTATGCCTTTAACATTGTTTGTAAATATACAGTTGTCGCTAAGACTTCCGGCAAGTGTTCTGACGTCAAGGATTCTCTGGCAATATATTCCACCCCCCGCCAGGCCTTGACGGAGCCAGTGTGATGCTGTTACTCACCGCTCGAAGATGTGTATATCACATGCACCTCACTGCTCTCAAAACTCTTTCATCTTCATTTCACTTACCAAAATAAAAGGTAAGTTTAAACAGAAATAGCCATAGATGAAATAATTTAAAGTGATATATTTTATGAGAGACATTAAAAGGAAGGTTTTTATTCGAATTTACGAAATAATAACTACGTTGAAATCAATAACATATCGTGTATAGGTTGAAAAAATGGACAGGAGGGCAGACTATGATAACATTAAGAAAGAAAGCGAGTATGAAACTAATGCAAGTTTTTACTCAACTTCTCCATATACGTGGCATATATTATTATTTTCCTTATTAATTGTTGGTTTATCTGACTCGTGAAGAAAAATATACCCAGCAACTGTGGATACCTCCTTTAGCAAGATGGGACTGCAGGATAGTCATCTCTGTCTTGCAAGATATAGGTCCTCAAGAGGCAGCACCTTCAGCTTACAACTGAAGGTCCCAGTTGCACCAAGGAAAGGACTCTAGTAAGACAGTGGAAGACTGAGGGACTGATTACCTCAAATGCCTTCTCATCTTCACCATTCTTCTTTGTATTGGACTGATGAAGCCACTGTGTGGCGAAACGTTTCCACAATAAAGATACCCAAATGTTGCACATGTGTCTAATTTATCAACAACAACAGAAGGACATTTCGCACGTGCGTTTTACACGAAGCTACTACTGGGACTACTCAGGACATTCGAGACGTATGGGCAATTATTATTATAATCAAGGGGGAAGCGCTAAACCCAGAGGATTATACAGCGCCTAGGGGGGGATGTGGAAGGCATTCAGGCTTAATTCGGGGAACTGGAGCACAGATCCAATTCCCTAAATCAAGAGCCCCTCACCAACATCAAGGAACCTTCCTTGAGGGGACGTATGGGCAAGTCTACTCATACCTGCTGCACTTATTCTCCTATTAATAGGTACCTGGGTGTGTTAGCCAACTTTAGAGGGAGGTATTTTGAGGGGTGACTTCATGAATCCTCCTGGATGAAATGCAATCAAAAGAGTTCCCAAGTAACTGCATTTGTCTACGTTGTACAAGAAGGGCTACCGGTGTTGTTTGTAGTATTAGAATGTGATGGACGGTGGTTTTCAGTGGTGTACCACCGACATTAACGAAGATGTGACACACATTTTTGCTGGGACAATGTTACACTCTGTTTACTGCTTTATCGTGTCATAATAAACTTGGCAAAGCTCTACACAAAGTGACACGTTGTCTCAATCATAGCTTGTCCCGCACCGTGTCTCTATCCTGCACTGCTGTCGGCGTGGCTCTTGTTGATGGTGAGTGGAAAAACACGTAATACAGAGCAGTACTTTATTGTATATGACGTTTCGCTCAGGAATGAGCTTTAAGAGGTCACCACCCTGCTGGTGGCGTCAAGTTATAACATCAAAGTTATACAAAAAATATATAATTCAGTATGATACATACTCCTGAGATTTGTCTCTCCTGGTGTATATATATGCTGAGACAACTTAATTTCCTTTATTTTAGGTAGTCAAATATTCTTGATAATTGGTGAATAGGTGAAATGCAGCCTGAATGACCCTCATAAATAACAACAAAAAAAGGCACAATACCGTGACTGGAACGATACACAAATAACCCGCACATAAAAGAGAGAAACTTACGACGACGTTTCGGTCCGACTTGGACCATTTACGGCTATATATAGCCGTCCTGCTCCACTTCTGGTTAGTGTGACTTTGTAAATGGTCCGAGTAGGACCGAAACGTCGTCGTAAGCTTCTCTCTTTTATGTGATGACCCTCACTTAGTCGACAGTTTTTAAGCCCCATTAATCAAGCAACCAAGAAACTATGCAAAACTAAGATAAGCCATGTACTATCAGAATCCACTAGAGCGGTGTCTCGCTACATCTGAGAGGCTAGCTGGCCTTCACAATAAAAAGTAACTCTATTGCTTATAATACAGTAAATTAATAAGATTAACAAATGTCAATCAAGATTAAATTATCAGGAAATCCTAATAAAAGCGATAACATTGTGTGCCGTGTGACGGACCCCACACACCTACGATTACTGCGGACGAGATGCATGGAGCTTTACCCAGAGTAAATATTTTTATTTATTATTATTATTATTATTAATTATTATTATTATTATTATTATTATTATTATTATTATTATTATTATTATTATTATTAATGTTAATATTTATGCAGATATTTTCATCCTTGTGTCATCACAACAAATTTTGGACTTCGATCCATTAAGTTCTTTTATCATCCTGACGGATGTGTTTCTACTACCGTAAATATTATGGTCAACAGAGTAAATTAAGATGTCAAGACTTCCATGTTGAGTGTGACTGTCGACCTGAGTATGTCAGTACCTCTAACAAACTGACTAAGATTTTTAATTTTGTTTCTTTGTCCTTAGGCATGGCGGTGGTGTACAAAATCCTTGCTGTTCTGGTGGTTGTAAATAACATGCTGGTCCCGACCTCTTGTGGCTCCATTAAACTGCATCAACTTACCAGGTATATGGTTGATGGTAACCATGATGGAGCCATCTGGCAGGCTCCAGTTATGTCGGAGATGGAGGATGTTACTGTGGACAGTGGATTCAGTGATTTTGGGACAAGTGGAGTCAGAGCCAGGTTTGAAGCAAATAGACTCGGTCCCACGGTCGAAGGTGAATTTCAGTCAAACTTCGTAGAAAATGAACTTGAATCCGGGGTTGAAGCAAATGGACTCGAATCCAGGATTGGAGCAAATGAATTCGAATCTAGGGTTGAAGCAAATGAATTTGAATCTAGGACTGAAGCAAATGAATTTGAATCTGGGGTTGAAGGAAATGGACTCGAATCCAGGATTGGAGCAAATGAATTCGAATCTGGGATTGAAGGAAATGGACTTGAATCTAGGGTTGAAGCAAACAGACTTGGATCCAGGGTTGAAGCAAATAGACTTGGATCCAGGCTGGAAGCAAAAGGTGTTGACTCAAGTGATTTGCGTAGACAAAGTCATACTGGAAGAGTGCGCACGAAGGCAGACCTTGAAGAAGACAGACATGTTAGATCTTTTTTTCTGCTGGGACGTGCTTATGCTGCCCCGGGCTGGAACTTCCCACTGATGGAACCCGTGGCTGGTAGGCTGGGAACCAGCTACCCTGAGACCGGAACATACCAGAGAGGAGACAAAAGTAGGGTCCAAAAACGCAGCTCGGTACGCGAGAGAACACACAATGGCAAGAAAAATTCAAAGATGAATAAAATTAAAATGTGCAACGTGAAACCGTGGAAAGTTAAACCCAAGCCATGTAAGGTTTCTAGCTTAATTACCCCTTCAACGACCTTCTTTAAGATTAACAATCTCCTAAGCCATCTCACGGGCGGTGAATGTGAAAGGAGTGTGATAGGGAGCCTCACATCACCAGAGCAACATAGCATCATTGACTCTATACCTGTGTCCAGGTGTGATCACAGTTTAAGTGGATGCAGCTTTGGTGAACCCTTTCCTAAAGTTCATAAACACATTGTCAAAGAAGCCAAAATACAAATCACCAACCAAACCTACTCTGGCTTTCTTATTTTTAAATACAAAGATGCCAAAAACTGCATGTGTACAAACTCAAACACTTCAGACAACCCCTATCCGAAAATTTATGATATGTATCTATTATTTGAAGGACAAAGGAAATATAAAGTGAATGACTCTTGCTACAGAAACTTTGTGTTGGGGTGAAGATCTCGTCTCTGATGATAATATTTTGTAAAACAACGATTTTTATAATTATATGAGATAGAACATTACTCTTCCTCATCTTATTTCAAATTAATCTGAGGGTAGCACTAAACCCATAGGGGTCATATAGCTCCTGGGTTTGAGAAGCAATCAGGTTTAATCCCAGAAGGGAGAGGATAGCACAGTTCCTCGGATCAAGAACCCCTTACCGGTATCAAGGGCCCTTTGAGGGGAGGATGGCTCTTTCCCAATCCATGAAGCTGCGTTACCTTTATCTGGCGGGAAGACTCCATGGATTGGGTTTGAGTTATTAGCATTCAAAATCTCCGCTCCCTTGTCCCTCAAGATCTGTTTTTAGGCGACATATAGCTAAGTGGAGAGATTTTCTCACACCCGAAAGGTGCCGGGTTCGATTCCGGATCAACATAACACATGTATACGTTTCTTTATGCTTGCTGTCCATGGTGACCTTGCAGTTGTGAAAACGGGTTTGTGAGTGTTAGCACTTTTATGACCTGTGAGTCGTCTCGAGGAAAGTTATTCTATGCAACTATTTAAAAAATTGCGTTCCTGTTGGTGTAACTACTTCAGCCGTACCCATCCATTTATAAGGGAAGAGTAACGCCTGTTCCTTCATTATTAATGAGGGAGAGAAGACAGACAGAGGAGTCCAAGCCTTTGCAGTGAGTGGAACAACACATGAAAGTTTGTAAATGAACTGTAGAGAAAAAATAATTATTAGAGTACTTTTCAGCAGTACAGTTTGTATTCCCATGTCTCATAATTGTGTAATATATCATTGTAATATTCCCTATAGCATTATATTATTTTCCTCCCATTAACCTTGTATAAGTGGCACTACCAAAGTGTGGATCCCTATACTTTCAGTGTCAGTGTAATAATTGTAATCCTTCATATATTTGAATCTAATTTTCATCACTATAATTTCGCTTTTATATTATGTTTGGTGGAAGCATAGGGGTCCTACAGCGCCTGGGGAATGGAAGATATTCAGGTTCGAAGAAAAATATTAGTTTCTCCCTGAAGCCATTTGAAATAGTCCATTTTCTCTACTACTCAATCCATTATGCCTGAACAAATAACAATAATATCTTTATTTCTACAAGTACATGTACAAGGCATACAGGCCTAGCTGACATCAACGACATACTACTATATAGAAAGTTGCTTGTTATGATGAGCATTTCGGGCAAATTAGGTCAGTTTTGTCCCAGGATGCGACCCACACCAGTCGACTAACACCCAGGTACCCATTTTATACTGATGGGTGAACAGGAGCAGCAGGTATCGTATGGAAACACGTCCCTAATGTTTTCCAGCCGTACCGTAGGTTTATACATTGATGGTACAAAGTTTCAGTATGCCATACATAAGGTCTGAGGGATACATTGCAAATATATGTATACGTGTTTGTCAAAAATTACATTACATATAACTCATCCAGCTCCTCAAAGATGGGGCGCATAACCAGGATACGACAGTCATTACCTCTCTGAACTCAAGAATTGAGCCACCGGAACAGAAAATTAGCTGCCCTGGTATCCTTAGTTACCCTGATGAATCTTTTGTCTAGCTCCTTAAGGAGCTTGGATGCACTCTTTACCCACGGGCCATGGGTCTCTGAATCTAATACATAATAAGGAGCACGCTCACCATATTTTCTAAACTTTTGGGGCTCCCTGAAACTGGCAGCTGCCTTTCCTTCCTCCCTGCAGTACTGATATAGGTATCAGTCAATGTGGATGCACATGTGTAGCCCCACACCACTTACCGCCTGTCCACGCTTGCTAGGTAGTAATTCCATCTGGACGATTTTGGGTGCCATTGGATCTGCATAGTTGGGGTAACTCCTTTATTACTTGGGATTCGGCTGTTGCAAAACTTCTCTTGGTATTATTAACGTCTTCATGAATTGCAATATTTAACTTGGATCTACGGTAAACAAAACCATGATATCCGAACTGGTCTGTCAATGTACTGCCGCAGATACATCTGTGTTCGGCGAGAATAGGGGCGGAAAAGCGAAGAGCAACACCAACCCTGATGGCCCGCTGGTCGAGGCGTGTGGTGTGGGACCTGGAGTTTACCTGGAGAGAGTTCCGGGGGTCAACGCCCCCGCGGCCCGGTCTGTGACCAGGCCTCCTGGTGGATCAGAGCCTGATCAACCAGGCTGTTGCTGCTGGCTGCACGCAAACCAACGTACGAGCCACAGCCCGGCAGGTCAGGAACCGACTTTAGGTGCTTGTCCAGTGCCAGCTTGAAGACTGCCAGGGGTCTGTTGGTAATCCCCCTTATGTATGCTGGGAGGCAGTTGAACAGTCTCGGGCCCCTGACACATATTGTATGGTCTCTTAACGTGCTAGTGACACCCCTGCTTTTCATTGGGGGGATGTTGCATCGTCTGCCAAGTCTTTTGCTTTCGTAGTGAGTGATTTTTGTGTGCAAGTTCGGTACTAGTCCCTCTAGGATTTTCCAGGTGTATATAATCATGTATCTCTCCCGCCTGCATTCCAGGGAATACAGTTTTAGGAACCTCAAGTGGTCCCAGTAATTGAGGTGTTTTATCTCCGTTATGCGTGCTGTGAAGGTTCTCTGTACATTTTCTAGGTCAGCAATTTCACCTGCCTTGAAAGGTGCTGTTAGTGTGCAGCAATATTCCAGCCTAGATAGAACAAGTGACCTGAAGAGTGTCATCATGGGCTTGGCCTCCCTAGTTTTGAAGGTTCTCATTATCCATCTTCTAGTGCATTTAGGACCTTGTCGTAGTGATCCAATAGTTGAGACAGACAGGAGCGACCTGTTCTAAACCCATGTTGCCCTGGGTTGTGTAATTGATGGGTTTCTAGATGGGTGGTGATCTTGCTTCTTAGGACCCTTTCAAAGATTTTTATGATATGGGATGTTAGTGCTATCGGTCTGTAGTTCTTTGCTGTTGCTTTACCTCCCCCCTTTGTGGAGTGGGGCTATGTCTGTTGTTTTTAGTAACTGTGGGACGACCCCCGTGTCCATGCTCCCTCTCCATAGGATGGAAAAGGCTCGTGATAGGGGCTTCTTGCGGTTCTTGATGAACACGGAGTTCCATGAGTCTGGCCCTGGGGCAGAGTGCATGGGCATGTCATTTATCGCCTGTTTGAAGTCATTTGGCGTCAGGATAACATCGGACAGGCTTGTGTTAACCAAATTTTGTGGCTCTCTCATAAAAAAATTCATTTTGATCTTCGACTCTCAGTCTGGTTAGCGGCTTGCTAAAAACTGAGTCATATTGGGACTTAAGTAGCTCACTCATTTCCTTGCTGTCATCTGTGTAGGACCCATCTTGTTCAAGTAGGGGCCCAATACTGGACGTTGTTCTCGACTTTGATTTGGCATAGGAGAAGAAATACTTTGAGTTTCTTTCGATTTCATTTATGGCTTTTAGTTCTTCCCGCGATTCCTGACTCCTATAAGATTCCTTTAGCTTAAGTTCGATGCTTGCTATTTCTTGACCAGTGTCTCCCTACGCATTTCAGATATATTGACCTCTTTTAGCCACTCTGTTATTCTTTTCCGTCGCCTGAAAAGGGAGCGCCTGTCTCTTTCTATTTTACATCTACTCCTCCTTTTTCTTAGAGGAATAAGCCTTGTGCATACATCGAGTGCCACCAAGTTAATCTGTTCTAGCATAAGTTGGGGTCTGTGTTGCTTAGTATATCTTCCCAGCTTATATCGGTTAGGACTTGGTTTACTTGGTCCCACTTTGTTTTTGTTATTGAAGTTGAATTTGGTGAATGCTCCCTCGTGACTAGTCTCATTATGTCGGTCTGGGGCTCCACGCATACATGTCTGAACCTCAATTATGTTGTGATCTGAGTATATTGTTTTTGATATGGTGACATTTCTTATCAGATCATCATTGTTAGTGAAGATGAGGTCTAGTGTATTCCCCTGTCTAGTAGGCTCTATTATTTGCTGGTTTAAATTGAATTTTGTGCAGAGATTTAAAAGCTCGTGTGAGTGTGAGTTTTCATCAGAGCTGCCTCCTGGTGTTATTACTGCAACAATATTATTTGCTATATTACTCCATTTTAGGTGCCTTAAGTTGAAATCCCCCTGGAGCAAGATGTTGGGTGCAGGAGCTGGAAGATTTTCCAGACAGTGGTCAATTTTTAACAGCTGTTCCTGGAATTGCTGGGATGTTGCATCCCGAGGCTTGTAGACTACCACAATGACTAGGTTTTGGTTCTCGACCTTTACTGCTAAAACTTCCACTACATCATTTGAGGCATTTAGCAGTTCTGTGCAAACAAGTGACTCTGCAATGTACAGGCCAACCCCCCCCCCCTTTTTGCCTGTTCACTCTGTCACATCTGTATAGGTTGTAACCTGGGATCCATATTTCGTTGTCCAAGTGATCCTTTATGTGGGTCTCAGTGAAAGCCGCGAACATTGCCTTTGCCTCTTCAAGCAGTCATCGGATGAAAGGTATTTTGTTGTTTGTTGCTGGCTTTAGACCCTGTATATTTGCAATGAAGAATGTCATCGGACTGGTGGTATTGTTGGTACTGGGGGGGAATTTTTTTTCCGGCATTAGTATCTGTATCTGTTGGTTTGGAGTGGAGGCCATCGACTGTGGTTCCACTCCAGGAATGACTGGATTTGGTGTACGATTTCTGCCATTTCCTGCCAGTTTTTTTTTCCTTCCTGGCACTAAAAACCTCTCCCTCTTGAGTGGCTGTGGCTACCCAGGTTTTCCCATGGCCTGGATGTTTTGTATCTTTTTGTACCTTTAGATGGTGTGCCTGGCAATTTTAAGTTATGGCACAGTCTTTTTCCTGTACTGAAGAGGTACACATTTCAGGGTGAAAAAGCTTACAGGAAGGGAGTTTGCATTTTCCTGTTGTCATATGGGCATGGCCTTTTCTAGGGTGGTCATAGTTGCACGTCCCGTCTGCTTTTCCAGATTTCCCATGTCTGCAGATACCAAGTGCATAGTATGTGCACAGGCTTGGTTTCCGTTTGCCTTGGGTTTCTGTGACTGTATTCCCTGTTGGTGCATGTTTCCCTGTCTTATTCCTATCCTCCCTAGCAACAACAATGGAGCTCCCACCAGTTGTTTTTGGTAATATATCCTCACTATTGCTAGTGGAGTCCTCTTGTTTGCTGTTTCCTGTGGTATTTCTGGTTTGCAATATTGGTTTTATCTTATTTTTGGGACTACACTTTTTTCCCCCACTATGGCTCCTGTCCCCTATGAGGTCATTTATATGTATTCCTTCCTGCGTATAATTCCCGACTACCTGGACAAAACTCCAGCTTCACCATTATTGTCTCCAGGACAGCACCTCCAGCTTCACCATTACTGTCTCCCAGGACAGCACCTCCAGCTTCCACCATTACTGTCTCCCAGGACAGCACCTCCAGCTTCACCATTACTGTCTCCCAGGACAGCACCCCCAGCTTCACCATTATTGTCTCCCAGGACAGCACCTCCAGCTTCACCATTACTGTCTCCCAGGACAGCACCTCCAGCTTCACCATTACTGTCTCACAGGACAGCACTATCAGCCCCACATTTACTGACTACCAGGACATCACCTCCAGCCTTACAGTTTCTGACTACATGGCCAGTATCAAGGGCAGTACCATTCAGCCCAGACTTTTTATGTTCCCATCTGTTGTAGAAAGCTTCCAGGTTGTCTATGAAAGCAGCTTTGATGTTATCCTCTTTTAATACCCTTGTGATTTTAGTCCACAGATTTTCCTCATTTGGGCATACCCAAAAACACTTCCCTGTTTTAATACTGCTTGTAGCTAGTTCTTGGATATCTGCACAAGGGAAGTGACACCAATTTCCACAAAAATGACAATTTATCCATGTGGAAGCCCGTTTGTTTGATTGACTGCAGACTATACAGAGCTTCATAATGATTTGAATGGTTGATTTACTGTAATTCTACTAGCAACCTTTTGAATACTCTATTAATAACCTCCTTAAATGAAGCTCTAGATATTTGTATTTGTATTTCTAACTGTATTTGTATATTGGTCAGCTTACCGTGTACGTTCCTGATTTATATTTATTGTTTGTGTTTGATAAGGGCGCCTACAACCCCATCCGTTTACAGTCTGCTTTATTGTCTAACGAATCCGTTTGAAACCAGTCAAGGGTTCGGACCATCAAGGGTTCGGACCAGTCGAGGGTTCAGACCAGTCGATCTGATCTGATCAGTGGGTCACTTATTTAAAACCTACTAGTCGGCGATTTGGGCTAACACATGAAGGATCTACTTGAAATTATGTACCCGAGTAATATGTGATTTGATTGATACAAAAGTATAACTTGCGTGTTGAAGAACCGGTGATTTCTGGCAGCTCCTACAATGACGAACGGTCGAGCCTCAACCCTTGTTTATCAATCGCTGTATCTAGCTTTTCTAGTTTTTTTTTCGTCTCCACCACAATAAATGCTATATTATTACTATAGTTGACTGGTGGAAATTTTGGAGGAAGGACGCTTTTTCTGTAGTAATAATTGCTTCTCGTTGTGCATATTGCGACCGCTGGTAACTACAGGTTATATGAAATTCACAGTAACGTCTGGTATTTCAAGAAAAAAGAAACTAATGAAAGTCACTCTACTTCACTAAGTACCATTTTAATACTGGTTAGTTGCTACTACAACACTGTATTCTGCTATTCACTGGTATCACTAGATTATATGCGAGTACACTAGCAAGCCAGGAAGATTATTAAAAACAGCTGACCTGTGGTAAGTTTCTGGCGACTTCTGGCACCTGCCTCTATAGGCTTATCACTTCATTTACAAATTCACCTGTTTTCAAATGACACTTTAGCCTTTATCATCTATATACTAGGGAGCCACTGTAGTATACACTATACACTATGTATACACAATGTTATCAGGGAGACTTTCTTTCCTCTGACAAAGAAAAGTTCTATTATCATTATTTTGCACACGGGACACAGGTCTATGATTCCCCTCTGGCAGTAAACTCTGCTAGGTAGTGCACACTAATTCTCCTTTTTTGACTCAGTATATAATATTTTCCGCCCAAGATTGGTTCCAGGCGCTAGAGGGATATATCGTATAGGATTGATGGCACAAATTAAAGTTCTAGCATGTAAGAGCGACCGTGAAAACACGAGAAATCCCGGAGCACAACGAGGCACGCTGACACTCTGACACGCTCACATCAGTGAGGTGTATTTTCACATTTTCGTTATCTGACGCTATATCAGTATTAGGGCTCATTTTCTGTTAATCACTCTACCTGTTAAATATATTAACATTACCCTGCAGGAATTCACATTGTA